CTTGCCTTCAAGTGTGTAACTTGCTGAACCCACAGCACAGGCAGAACCTCTCCAAGAAGCTGTTTTGCCTTTCCCAAAATATTTTTCCTCACCAACAGCAGGCAGACGAGCCAGGGGATGTTTCTTTGTAGCACAGGAAGAGTGTGACTTTGTGGTCAGTCTCAGGGTGCGATGGCTTCACCCAATCCAACGCTGCAGCCTGCAGAAAGCAGAAAGGCTGCAGCCACATCACTCCCACCCCTCTGCCAGCCGTGGTAGAGCAGGTGGGTGCACAGAGCCACCCTCCAGTTCATGGCCTGACCTTTTAAGATGGGTGACATACAACACTCAAGGGATTTAAACTGACTTAGCAGACTTAAAATACAGCACCTAAGAAGTGATGTTCTGTGGTGCCCTCTGGCAGGAACCCACAGCAGATGTCTGGGGACTGTAACCTCTTCAGCCACAGCAGCTGAACCCAGAGAGGAACCAGGTAATTCCTTAATACAGCTCTATTCGTATTGCAGAACCTTATGATCGCAACATCAAAACTTGAAACAAACCTCAACAGCCCCAGAGATAGCACTTGCTTTCCAGTACACATTTGCAGTGGATACACCCAGATAATTTTCTATTCCAATAAAACAAGCACAAAATAGGTAACTGTACAGTGCCGTATTTTTAAGGTTAACACTAACTGGGTTTCTGAGGATCACTAAGACTGTGTGGACATACCACGATGAGGAGTCCGCTGTGGGATAAAACCTTTTATCCACCAACAATGCTACAGCTCAGTCTTCATGAAAGCTGGAAAACCATCACCTCTTCACCTGGGAGCCTTTCTGGGCATCTTCTATAGGTAAGCAAAGCCTGCCAAAAAGTGACTGAAAAAGACTGAGGACCAGCCAATCTTGCAAAACTCAATGGACTACTTGATCAAATTGTTCACTGGAACATCATCTTGGAAAAAGTCACATCAGAAGTCCAACATTTTTTTAAAAAAGTAAAAATGAAAAAATTCAGGGGTGACAACAGGACAAGTGAAGATGAACTCTCTGTGGCTAAAACACACTGGTTCAAACACAGCAGCTAAATAGGTAATGAAAACCTTGGGTAACTAAGTGAAGAGGTTCTGAGCAGAAGTAGGAAGGCAAAATGTAACTGTAATATGCACCTACCCTGGTAAACTATGCTGGGTCCAGTTCTGAAGTCTGAACTTACATGAGAAAAATACAGTGAAAAATAGAAATAGTTCGGTATTTAGCTCTACAAAGCTTGCCTCAAGTTGATTTTCTGTCTCAGTGTTCCTTTGCATGAGCAAAATATAAACAAGAGGTGACCTGAACATTCTTTATAATGCCCACACTGAGACATGGCAAAAGACACAGCGTCTGATACAGCAGAAGAAAATACAGAAAGATGCAGCATCTGGAAACCAAAGCTGGATCCCTTCAGGTGCTGTCCTCCTGCAGTTCACCACACCAAACTTCTGCACCTCATTTGCTGGTATGTGGCCCCTTCTGCAAGCGCTCTGGAGATGCTATGCAATGCCATCAACAAAAAAAACCTCAAACAACCCTACAAAGATGGAAAGGATATTAAACACTACAATATTTAAGCGTACTTCAGTCGAGGGAAACAACCTGAAGTACACTCCTGTTGGAGGTGGGAAATCACTGTTTGCCATCTACAAAGAACGGCACATTTTTATAACTAAGCAGTTGAACAAGTTTCAAAGTTCAGGGAGAATACAGATTTGCAATATTTTTACAAAGTTAAGACTTTTATAAAATAACTATCTTTTTTACAGCGCATGTCCTACACCAACTTATTTCATACAAAAATTTGCTCCGGCATAAATGAAGAGTACAGTGGTAACAACAAAAATAATAATAATTAGGTGTAAAAACCCCCAGGTTCCCATGCTTGCTGAATCTCTGTATATAATACTGTATTTTAATATGTTTTTTTGGTCAAAACAAACAGTTCCTTCAGGATGAAGGATGAGAGGCAATACACCTGCACTTCTTACTCCTAAAGTCCAGTGGAGTCTACCACTTGTGTCCTCAGCTGCCTGCAGAGCCTCTGTGAGCCAAGGACAGGAGCGCTGGCAGATGGTCACTGGCTGTCCAGTTGCCCTAAAAGACAGCTAAATACAAATGTACTTCAAGGTTACCTTTAACAATACTTGTTTGGTACTGCATCATTTTTCATGAGAGTGATTGTGACCGCTATTAGTACTCTGTAATGGTGACTGGAAGGGGAATTTGAGTGGTGTTTATACACCTTCACCCCACTGACACCCTGGTAGCACCGCGTATAGACCTGCACCAGCGTAACACTTGCTCCTGTTCAAACTTCAGTTACAGAGCACCATGGATTGTTGGAAAGACAAATCAGACTGCTGTAAATTGAAAAGTAATCCAATACAACATTTGGGGAATTTTATTTAAGAATAAAGCATAACTAGAGTATGAAACAAGCATTCAAAGTCAGAGAAGAAATTAAAGTGCTTGCTTTGGAGTAAATTAGAAACATTTTTCAAAGGTGTTGGAATACAACAAATACAATTGTGTGTGGTTCTTTTGCTTTAATGAAGAACAAGTAAATTTGATGTCTTAAAAACAGATCTTAAATCTTGTTCACTCTACGGTTGATCTCAACATGACACATGTAACTCACTTTCTAAACCAGAAGACTATAATTATACTGGAAGAACAAAGGCTGAGGTAATTGCTGACTAGAAAACTTTGTTACAGAGTCACTTGACATCCCGGAAGTTTTCTCAATATTTGATATCATCTTATTCAGGAGGCCACCAATTAAAAGAAAAAATTTGAGGAGCAAGGGAACAAAATGCATGTCTACGTTTCTTTTAATTTTACTCTGAAATATAAAAGTGCAAGTTCTGTAAATGAACATTTACAGTACATCACAATAAATATGCCAGTTTGTGACATCTAAAAATTCTAATTTATTTGAAATGAGTCATATTGAGATAAAAACTGCATCAACAGCAATGAAAATACCTGACCCAGTAAAGATAACATAGTAACTAGCAAGATGCATAATCCGTTATTGCTATTAGACCATGCCTCCGAGTTCCAAAGAATAAAAACTTATCAGTTTACACAAAATACAGTTGAAATTTCTCTCATCACAGGCATAATCTAACATAAAAAATAATTCCGACATTTACAAGGTAGGAGATTCTCCTACGGGGGAGGAAAAAAAATAATAACAGAAACAGACAGTTCTATTTCAGTAGTGATTCGCTAAATCCACAGAAAAGCTGCAATTTGCACAGAGCTAAACCATAATAGGAATATATAGTGTCTTTCCATACCCACTCCTGGCCCGGTGAGAATAACAGACCTTTCAGTAGATTTATGACAATTTGCTAGCTACCTCCAAGTATGTAGACCTTGGATACCCCAACACAAATGGCATGCAGGTGCTTCATGTCCTGAACAGCCTAGGCTCACGTTATAGTTAAGCAGTGTATTTCAAAAGGAAATTTGCAGTAACTGTACCATATCTAGCCATTTACCCAGAATGGACTGTCTCTCTCATTGCAAAACATTAAAAGTCAGATAGGACAAAAGAAGATTTCAAGTAAGGTAAAGCCCATTTTTAAAACCATGATTTGAATTCTAAGTAGACACTATATATACACAATTTATTGTTTTCTAGTCAATGCTTATTTGGATCGATGAAATAAAGTTGAACACTCCCTTGTGACTCAATATTACTGTTAAATTTGAGTTTAAAAAAACCAATGTACTACTGGTAACACACCTAGATTGTAGAAAAATAAAACGGCTTTTTTAAGAGTTTCTTCTTCGGAAACTGCAACAGAAGTGTTTAACTGCTCTAGGAATGCCTTTCATAGCAGGAATTGTGTGTTTCTAGAGAGAAATAAAAGTGCCTCAACCGTTTCATTTGGCCTACCAAATAGGATCTCACTTTTCTCCTCCATATCAGTCTTGCTTCAGATGCAACCTTGAAAGCAAATC